TGGAATGGATGACCGTAACGTTGGAAACCCAATATGTAGTGTTTCCGGGCATGTACACGGGAACACTGGATCTCGGAACGGTTGTCACTTTAATGCAAAAAGTCAGTCCTCATGTGTTGTGAATACCCCGCTCTCAAAGTTGGTGTCATTCCTGTCTACACATTGTTTCATCAAATGTTCAATGGCGAAGCTCCTTTTGAAAATTTGACTCTAAATTTGCTCGGATATAATGCAGGTTCATAAAATCTCCAAGAGAACAAGCACAGATCATTCGATCAAACCCACGAGTAGACGCTCCTTGCTTGGCACGGGGTTCCAGACTACTTCACCAGTGATGTTCTGTAGAGGATGGTACCTTGGAGAGTAGAATCATCCACTTTTAAATGGAAGCTTTCTTACCAGCAGTATACCTGGTAGTGTAAGCTGCTCAAGGCTTCGGGTAAAACGACCCATCTACTCGTCCACCGTCTTGTGCAATGAACGCTGAGTGCTTCTTCCAGCGTTGCCGTCATCGTGATGTTTTGACGAAGATCGACGGTTATGTCTGGCTTGTGTGAACAGTAATTAATTGTAGTTGTATCACCCTTTCGGTGAATAGCTCCTGTGCCATCCGAAGGAACCACGAGGACTGATACTGCAAGGATGCCTAAACCTAGACATGAGTCGAAGTGAAAGGTTGGGTTCGAACCACGGACCTTCCGGTCAGTAATTTCACGCCTCAACCTCTGGGCCATCTCGAAATCAGTCTGTCTTTTGTCCTCTGTAAACTATCACGGCAACATTCCGACGCGTTCATGTTGTGTCACTTGAAGATGTGGTGTAAAACTGCATGTATTACGACCTGGGAGCGTGCACATTCGACACACTACAACAACCAGATAACTGGACTAATCTCGATGACTTTTGCCGAAGGAAGACTCAAATTCACGTGACTGAACAGCTAAGCCAAAAGAGGCAGTGAAATGAGTTACCCTATTGCAACCTGGGTGAAGTAACGACTATGGAACGGGTCCCCTCGAATGCAACCGCACGGTGGACTGACTTTTGATGGTAGCCCAGACATGACCGCAACATTATTTTCCGCTTTCTGGCCGACACAAACACCGTCATCTTACGGCACACGTATGTTCCTAGTATGACTGGAGTATAACTATTTGTTTCAGCGGCCGCCTGAAGTTGGCACAAACTCCTTTCTTGTGTAGTCCTTGGAGGTCAGCATCGGTTTCCCAATAAAAAATTTAAAAATCGTTCAGGTGTGGCAACCTTTCGGTGCCTAACTGCCGTGCCACCAGGAAGAAGCACGAGGGCTGGGATACTGTCAAGTTGCCCAAGCCTAGACAGGGGAAGTCGAGAGTTAGAAGTCGGGTTCGAACCACGGACCTTCCGGTCAGTAAATTCGCGCTCTTACCACTAAGCCATCTTACCCCGATTTTCCAATAATCGAGCTAGTGAAAATGGCTTCAGGTAATCCGTTTCAACATCACTAATCGACCACGTCTCACAAGAGGATAGTGGGTCTCTTCGTATCCTAGACCATGTAGTTGCCTGTTCATCTGAAATCCTCCTTCACCGAAGTCCGGGGCATGCAGTCAGGACGTGAAACGCTAGTTTTAGCAAATTTTCTAAGAATGCTACGGTCAAATCGTTTGGGGCAGATATCCAAGCCATTCTGGCTGGTGTAGCCGGTCATGGGTCCGATGCTCCAAACTAACGTTGGCGTACCTAATTACAGCATAATTCCGGACAATAGTGTGCAGGTAACGGTAGTCGAAAACAGTTAATTTGTGATCAGCTGCTCGGAAAGAGCAGGTTCCACTGGTGCACAATCCAACGCGGGTGCTGTAGTGCTCTACAAGTCACTTTTCCGAGGATGGTAAATGTGATCAACCAGATCAACTGGCTACGGCAGTCCGCCTTGAGCCCCTTGGCTTTTAAATAGTTGGATTCAATGAGTTGGGGAAGGCAGGGAGTTCGTAGGAGTTTTAAGAGAGGGATTGTTCTTAGGAAGAGATTAGAAGACGGTATTTCTACGTGTAGTAGTAACTTGATGTGGGTGACTTGAAGACATAGATGCCACCGAAATGCAAGCTATATGCAAGGGGACAGGAGAAGCGATCTCGTAGGGGCGTTTTCTGTAGTAGTACCGGTAAAATAGAACAAGACATTATATTCGACGGTGGGAAAGTGTTTACATATTAGTGGTTAGCGGATCGGTACCGGTGAGACAATTTTACGTCGAATGTAATCGAGAGAAGAGAAAGAAGAGGGAGTCCAACCCGAAGCACGACAGCAACATTCGCTAGAATGCTATGTCCTGTGCTATAGGGCGGATTCGGCAGGCGTGTCCAAAAGTGAGGAACGACCTTCCTAGATGGTCGCGTCACGATGATATTGGGGAACTGAACAGGTTATCAGCGGTTAACAGAGCGGTAATGGATTGGGTCCGGTCATAGCGGAGTCGAAGTGAATCGTAACGCTTTGTGGCTTTGTCCGCACAATAGTAAGTAGAGAAGGTAACGGTCAGTAGGAGATTGCTTCACATAACAGCATCGGGAAGAAAATGTATCTCCAGGAAACTGCAGCGCTGCATTTCCGAGCGGGAGGATAGCGTAATTCATTCCCACTTTCATAGATCGGCAATGCAGAAAACTCCCAATCCAGATGATCAAACCTGAATACAACCTGTACATGGGAAGCCTAAAGAACAGGTTCGTATACGCTCGTTACAAATACATTCTTTTCGCCAACAGTTCAAACAAGAGGGCCAAAAGAGTGACAAATAAGTCAACACTCGTGAGATAGTGGCACCGGAGCCCAAAAACGGCGCTGTCTCCAAGACCGCGAAGTTGCTCTGGTCAAAAGTACTTCAAGAACTTTGGGCACAACGGGGGTCGGTTGACACTTGCTGGGGTCAGAGCGGGAGCCACTTTAGGGAATGACAAGTAAAACTTCCCAACCCGAAGGTGCTGGGGCTACGTTTCTCCCCCAAACGACCAACCATGGTAGTTTTTCTCGACTTGTAAACCGGTTTTGATTCTATGGGACGCCAGGGACTGGCAGTGCCCCTTCCAGACCTTTGTTTTTATAGAGGCTTTGTATATCTACTGTTGACACGTATGTGTCTACGGCAGATTTTCATGTCTAGTAGTGCCAAGCAAGGGTCCATCTGTTGTCCTCCATTTGCGATCGATGTCATGCTTGAATCTTCTTTATCTGCTTCAAGAATCGAAATAATCCCAGAACGTTCGCTCGCAGACGCTGAGTACCCCAACAGCATTGTTCTTGTATCATACTCTTAAGAAATGCGTACTAAGTAATTCTGCTGCCTTGTTGACCATACGGTTCACGACCGGAAAGTATTAAGTGAAGCATCAGTGTTGAACACTGATGTCATGCTGTCGATGATGATGATGTTTGGGATCAAACCTGAGCCTCATGCTTGCAGACGAGCCGGTCGATCTGATAGCTAAGTTCGTCCATCTGAACTGCATGTTTCGATAGACTAGAGAATTGTGAAGGTCAGGACAGTGTTTGTTAACCTCCCCAAATTTGTGACGCTGATGTGAGAGCTATCACGGATAGAGTATACAGTGACACTGTTCGATCTGTCTCACTCTAAGGACCAGAAACAGGGCTGCTGTGCTTGCAGATCTTCCAATACTTCCCGCGTTTGACCACAGGCCATGCAATTCGTACGCTAAAGAGCCGCTTCCCTCACCAAGCCCTCTTCGCCCAGCCGTGTATCGAATGAAGACGACTCAGATGAGGCCAGTCCACGACTTGGCAACGGGACCCGGAAGTCCTTAACAGTCAATACAGTTGCCTTGGTAACTGCTGTCTCACTGAGTGGTGACCCCGGAATAAGACAAACGAATGGATAGTGACCCGGACAGACTTGGCTATATGACGCAGCCACTAGCCATCCTGCATCAAAGCTGTCGCTTTCACTGCGTAGCTCCCGCACTCCTTCATACCGGGTAGGTAGCCATTTAAAGTTGAATAAGCAGGAGCATCGTTTCCAACACTTTCTCCTAATTTCCCTACTTCTCTTGTCCTTGGTGATTCTAATCCCCAAGCGATCCCAGGTTCTCTCCACTAAGCACATGACAGGTGGTTGCGTCAGTTAGGCGGCCTCCTAATACAAAATTTCTGGAATGAAAATGGTTACTTCAATCCATCTTTAGCTAACCCCACAGATATCGATGAGCGAACTTCTGTTCCACACAAATGTATCATATTTGTGTGGAACAGAAGTTTGCTCATCAGCAACTGTTAAATGTCTAGAAAGATATACTACTGACACCAGCGTAAATACAGCTACAAATAGGAGAGCTGTTTTGCTAGGTAAGACAAAACCATCTCGTTTGAATGTATTCGGTATGAACCAACAACCATGGCATCGACTTGACAGTAAGAAACTTGGTGGATTCGACAAAAATTACTACAACCGTATTCCAGCGTTGAAGGGAACACACTGACCAGACCATAGATCACAACATCCTGGTAGTATCACTACCGTTTGTTCGCGACCACTCATTCATCAACTCGAAGTATTCTCCGTCAACCCCTATACTTGCCCTAAGCGATTTTCTAGAGAGGGATGAATAGACTCCAAGAATGTCCTGATTCACCGTCGCTTGAGAAATATCATATGGTTTGTGTCCCACTGCCTGACGCCATAGGCCACGTAAATACGCAGAAGTAGCCCCGCTCTGCTGTGGCGCATCAGGTGAGCGATGCCCCCGACAAAGTCGTAAATATACAAGCTGGGTTTCCCTCCACAAAAGGGGTTCTTCCACCTGGACTTTACCACAATAATATTTAGTTTCTATATTACTCTCCGAGTAGAAGTTACGCTGCATTACGGAAATTTTGTCGTACTATCGTTGCGTTTCCTACATGAGGTATCGGCAGCATCGTTATGGCAGCAGATATGTTGACAGTGTTAGCTCAGTGAATCTGAGATAAAAAGGAATCAGGATGGAGAATAAGTAAACTGTTTTTGGAAATAGTTTTATTGTGTGTTCAGTCCCGATAGACTTAATAAACTGAATGGCGACATTTATGACGCCCCTTTCCTGAAGCCATCGCGCGAAACGCCGCTGTCAACAGAACTGAAACGAAAAAATCCGGGCTGCAGGTAAGAAATCATGTGACAAAATACAGCGATTTGAACCAGCTAGATGATAGAGAAAAATAAGTTAGACAAGAGTTCATCGGTTCTGCACAACAGTATAATCACGCCAAGCTAACCATCGTGAAATGGCATACAAGGTGCCGGTGGATACACACGACGGTCCGGTTTCCTCGCCTCCACGACAGTGTACGACACGTGGACTGCTTGTGAGACCACAGATCAATCGGTTAAGTTGTTCAAGTCGCCAGCATTTCTCCTCCGCAGTCCACAACCTAGAAGTAGAATTAGGAAAACAATATATCCCTGTTAATTCGGATGCAAGATGAAAAATATTGGAGACACTAGTGGACTACACTGAACAAGTTTATCTCGCTACAAATGATTTGGACGTAATGGTCGGTCTCGCATGCATCCCAAGTTTAAGTGGTGTGCCAACAGGTGGATAATAGAGCCCTTCTCAACCGATCAAATATTCAGCAGGAGCGTTGTGACGGCCAAGATAATGGCAAACAACTGTAGCAAGAAGTAAAGGCACAGCAAGCATAAGCCCTCGATGTTACTGCCGAAAGACATGCCCACGTGAGCAATCCAGCTGGGAGTACAACTATGTTCCAAACGCCAACCCGATGTAATAATCCCGGATGTTCAGTTGGGTCAATAACTGGTTTAAATGAAAGTGGGTGAAATTTCGACATGTATGAGGCAACGTGAATAGGTTCGAAATACGGGAATGCCATTCATTAGAAAGACCCGCAGACTGACCCCAGCTCTCACAGACCAGGGTAGCCTTTAGCCGGCGGAGACAGTATCAACTGAGGATTAGAGACCTGCCCCGAATATGAACGTGTTTTATGCTACCGCTTATCCGACACGACAGTCTTCTGATAACAGCATCGTATCATAGAACGGAAAAGGGAAATTTGTCCAATTTCGTCCTTACCGTCGAGCAGTTGTCGTGGTGTTCACCACCATCACCATTACTTTAGTCTTACGGCACCCGAATCTGGCTGTGCGCACCTGGTAAAACTCACCGAACGAAATCATGTCACTTAATTCATGAGAATACTACATTGGGGGTGCTGGAAACCATCACGATTGTTTGAGATAACAGATGAGCGGAACCGTTTTTTCATTGCTTAGAAAATAAAACGGGGGAGAATACAACCACCATAATGACGTGCCTCAAATGGCAAATAAGCTGCTAAAATTCTAAGAATACTGATAAAGACGTTTGTGTGGTTCAGAAACACCATACCACCAGCCAAGGGACACAAACAGCTGAGAGGGAGTGCTTTCAGAGGATTTAAGTGGGTAGGGCTCTCTAAAAAAGGCTGCTTTGTGTACATACTCTGGGTAGCCAGGCCTGCCATAGATTACGATACAACTGGGAGTGACTGAAAACACAATGTCATAGGAAGTTTAGCCTGCATGACATCCAGGTACATCCAGGAGAGAAAGACCAGAATATTCATTATATCAAAAAGAACAAGCCAACTGCTTCCCTGCACTATTCATTATCGTGCTGTCCGGACGGCAGTTTGAGATCCGCCATAAACTACAGAGACCAGCCAGTGGGTTGAATTACCCAGTTAAATTAAGGAAAGAACAATGGATTCTCGAGAGCGATGCTGGAGCAGCCTAAATAACAGTCCCCGCTCGTGATGGTGAGCTAATTGACATTCCGAGTCTTATGCTGATTAACATATGCTTGGTATCCTCATAAAAACTAGAACCATGGAATTGTGGTTTATTTGAAGTCATTTTGGAAAAAAAACTATTGGGTAACGTAGTACATTTCTATTAGTGATGCTCCTCGGAAGCCTTGGCACCGTCTAACCGTCGCAGTTTGTGGGACCCTCCGTTGATGGAGCTGCAGTGATAAAAACCATACGAATGACGACAGTATCTCCATAAAACAAGTCAATCGGGCTTCGAGTGTTACCAGGAGTTCGCCAGCACATGGTGGACTCAACTGCATTGTGGACATCCGAACGGGCGGATATGTTAACGCTAGAGCGTTGTTTGGTGTACAACACTAAAGAATAGTTGCGTTGGTGGTGGCACTTTTTCCAAGTTGTACTCAGTGGCGTATGCAGTCAGGTCGGGTCTTTAGACGGTAAAGCACATGACATCTCAAAGTGGTCAAGGTAAAATACACTCACACGTGGTCCATTTCGAGTGACTTGACAACTACCAAGAGAGCCACTCACCAGCCTGGAGTTTGAGTAGAAAATCATACATCGTTACACACCAATCGAAATGCTTCATCGCATGCAAGTAGGTGCATGTAGCCACAGAAGCAAATGGTATGCAACTACTGATGATCACCTGGCTACAGAACGGAAAATAAAACGATTAGCCCACCCGAAAGTGAACATCCTCTGCTGTGCCAACTAACCTGCTCACTACATTCACGAAAACAGCAGCAGGTACTCACCAGACATGTGTCGTCAGGCTATTCACGGCAAGAGTACCGGGTAGCGGAGCAGAGAGCGATAAGAGGTCGGCAACACTAGTACACGAACGACGACAGTATTGCTCAAACTCTGTCCAATCGTTAACCAAAGACTGAAGAACTGAAATCGGGAGACAAACGGCAGACGACACCTCATCTTCTTGAATGTTCAGCTGGGGGAGACCGGGATCGGAAGTTCTGTAAGATTAACGAAAAGGATGGGTTGGAAATAAGCGAAGGCACTGAAATAGCTAATATTTGGAAGCTTAATTGCTTAGATCACCTGAATAAAAACAGGAGCGAACCGCGATATTGGTGTTGCGAGAAGAACCGTTCGCTTTAGAAGAGAGTAACTAACAGAACATCCACTTCAAATATACCCCGCTTTGGATAGAACGAAATGACAAGTTAAGTTAGGTAGTCCCTCTTGCCTTCCGGATGAGTGCTACCGCTAAAAATTATAGAAGTTCGATGTGGTTCATTAATGAAGCCCGGAGGATTAGATTACCGGGTTTTTCCGATTGTTGTAGTTGCTACCTCAAACAGACGTACCATATCACAAGGCACTGTCCTACTCTTTACTGACTTTACTATTACATGTATAACATAGGTGCAGAGTCAAGCCCATGGGAGCCTCATCTGTGGTTTGTCGCTTCAGTTTTTCTCTCACGCATCAAACAGCTACCAATATTAGGTACCCTATTGTGCGTGATGGGCGATTTCGGTTAGCTGGATAGTGTCTAAGCATGAAACAAGCATAATTTCCCATCACCACGCCCCTGAGAAGAGTCCAAGGGGTTGAACTCGGCCAGGACGTCTCAGGCCAGTGATACATGTAAACACATGCGAGCTTTTCGCCAATTAAACTCATCGTCTAACTATTTCCAGTATGGGCTGCTGACGCGGCCTATCATGCTCCTTATGGAAACCGGACAAGCCGTCCCATTAGAAAAGCTGATGGCATCTGTCATCGGGTAGTCAGCCCGTCTCGTTTCAGGCATCTGGTGGTAGATGGCCCTCTGCTATCATCCGACTATGACCACCGTCCTGTGGGCTGGTTTGAATGAAGTGCACATATGGCCGTTCGGTTAGGTGATGAGGCAACGGTCGTTCTGTGTGGCCAGGCTGAAGCACACTCTCTATTCCAGCCTAAGCGTCTGGGAGGAGGTTTAACGGCCCATGTTAATTCCTCTCTTGCAAGTGAACAGCAAGGGACCACGTTCCCGTAAGAGTGGCCCTTTGAAACATCCGAACCCTGCTGAGCCAAGCTGACAACCAGGTTGGCTGTCTTGCGAGGTGCGCCATCTTGGGCNAGAGTGGCCCTTGAAACATCCGATCCCGGCTGAGCCAAGCTGACAACCAGGTTGGCTGTCTTGCGAGGTGCGCCATCTTGGGCTGTATGGGATCAATGTCGCGACTCTAGCCCAAACATGGTTGGATGACCAAGGAAGTCTTCGTCAAGCTGGTTATGGACACACATTTTACTGGACTGGCTACCCGACAAGAGAAACGGGATCATGTTGTCAGTCTTTCCTTGTCCGGCCGCACCAGGAAAATGCTCGGCACAGAACCCCGCGACATCAATCCAGATCTTGCGTCACATGGACAATTTAAACCCACGTGATTGTTGTCTGTGAATGCGCTCCAAACATGTGCTGTACAGAGAGCGACAAGAACGATTTCTAAGCCGGAGCTGAGTCCATATTTTGATCCCTACCTGTTGTATCTAACTGCTGTTCCGGCTCCAGTGCCTTAGTGTCGAAAAAAATCGCCAGGAAGGAACACAACAGCTTGACTGCGAACAAGCGGATGCAAGTTACAAGGTGCCTCGCACCACGACATCGATCCAGACTGTCTGATCGGCGCTTGATGAACGACCATCATCATCGGTGGTGCTTATGTAGCGCGCCTAAACACTCGTTGGTCGTTGCTGAATTGATTGACTGGCCTGAATGCTTGTTGGCTTCCTATTGAGGTTTTTGTGGATCGTGAGTATCTCAGTAGGTTTCAGGCATTCTTGGATTACTTTCAGAGACCTGACAGTTCCGAGTTCTTGCTGGGAGACTAAAGCACGCGCCAGTCGAGACCACTCCCTGTGGCCAGGCATTCTCGAACGCCACAGTATCGGGGACGTAAACGCCAGCGGCGACCGACTTCCTAGGTGTCAAAAATCAGGTTGATCTACCAATATCAGTTGGCCCCCACGCTACCAGCCGTCAATTCATCCAGCCTGCTAACAACATGGCACACCTCGAAGCATCTAATACTGACGACGACAGTCAACCAGGTCGGGTAAGAAGTCTGACTGGTTTGACGAAAACAACTGGTGTATGAACAGCTGGTAGCTGGAAAAAGTGGAGAGCATGGTGAGTAGCTGACGCAATTGAAGAGCGATGTCAGGAAATAGCACCTTAAGAAAACCGGACCACAACGTAATCAAAACATGGAAAAACTACCAAAAAGGACGAAATGGGAGTAGCCAATCAAATCAGCAGGGGATAGACCAAACGCAGTGTAAACTGTGAACAGACCAATCAGGGCAGTGAGGAAACCTACCAGCAGCTGTTAAGCGAGCCGATCAAGTACAAGTGCGGACAACGAAGAGCAAACGGTAGATGAGCCAATGAAATTACGATAAGGTCATTATCAAAAAACCAGGCCATTACATCGAAACATATAAAACACTTTTTTTACAATAATATGAACGCAAGCAGATAAGAGGTATTCACCTTGTCGCGCATCGACGATACTTCTCCGATTGTTGGCGAAACGTTTGAAAGAGAATTCCCAAGCTCGGCGAACGGATTACCAACCGCCTTGCCCTCCATCCAAACAAGGTTTTCCATCGCTGCATGTCGCGCAAATACCGCTGGTTACATGGTCATTAGACGTGTTTCCTTCAACGTTAATCAAAACGGTGGGCCTCTTGCTGACGTATGAGCTCGTTCATTTTTAATTACTTGTTAGTAATACGGCAGTGAAGCATCGGTGTTGAACACTGATGTCATGCTGTCGATGATGATGATTTGTTAGTAGTATCATAAAAGACATAATCAGTTGGATCAGCCATGGAAACCAAATTTGTATACATCTGAAGGCAGCTCGTTGTTTGTTACAGTGCTCGTTCTTCATGCGTGTGCGAAATTCCAGCGCAGTCGTTTACCAATGGTGTACTACCGTTGACGACGACAACCCGTGATCTAGCTGCAATGGTTCAGTGGACGTGTGAGTGTATATTTCAGTCGCGGCTGTCATTCTATTTTGCCGTCAACTTACTGTCCAGAATTTTAAACCTTTTAGTAGCACGAACGTCTGAGTTCTCCTTGGCTGAGCGAGCGTAGTCGAAAGAGCTGACCGAACAAGGGAGTTGAAAGCGGCTTTGACGCCTGAGGATGTCGGGGGTATGTTTCACAAACGCAAACATAACTTCTCCGACACACGGCGCGGTGACGATATTCTCAAAGCAACCTACAGCTGGTCGGAGTACCACTTGTTGCTCACGGGTTGGGGGCACCTTGTGATGCATTATTGTCCACAAAAAGACGAGGATAAAAGTGAAGTAGCAGAAAAACGATTTGGCGGACGTAGAGTCTCGTCTGGTAATATCATTGAGTGTCTACCCAGTAGCATGAAGGTTCCCAGCACAGCTGAGTATTGTGGCGTTCAGCTACGGTTCGGTTGATGTCACAATGTCGTCAATTTTGAAGAAATTCGATATTTGAAAGGTGAATGGTCTGATAGACGGGAGTAGTAGAAACATCTATAGGATTTTCTTCATATAATGGTAATTGGTAAGGCCTCAGTTATCACGAATGACCGACAGACCGCATTCACCCGACTAAGTGCAAGCGGAGGTGAGACCAGGCTGTGGTGTGTTTGTATAGCCAAGCAAATCGGTTGCTAATACCTGGTCATCAATCAAGGTGACAACCAGAAGAATGATGACGGCTCTGAACAATGAGGATGACCATCCCAACGACCAATCTTAACCGAAGATCAGTGAAGCCTGTACACGCGCAAAAACAACACTGAGCGACGCATGTAGAGTGACACACCGGTGTTCGTCTACGCATTGCTCGTGTCAGCTCGACTTGCGATGAAACATCAACAACCAAATTGCCTGGTTAGGGGAACTGATCAAGGGCTACAGATTCAATGTGAGTCACCAATACCCTACTCAATAGGGTTAAACTATCCCAATTGTACTTATGGATAATGAAAGAAATGGGCCACGCACTTGCTTTGAGGATGGTCCAATTGCGGCCACATAACTGCATAATAAATCACCAAATGATGGGATTTCGGCGTTGTGAGCGAAGGATAGGCCGCTTCCCAAGCACACAGTGGGTGAAGCAGTGTCGAAGCGCGTTCTTTCCATTGATTAACTAGAACGCTGTCAGACTCCAAACCCAATTCTTCACACAGTTCACGTACGGCCGTGAGCTGGAATGAAAAGTAACACGGGTTACACGTGTGTGCGGTTATTCCACTTTAGACAGGACGTCTATGCAACCGATGAAAGTGGGATTCGATCTTGTCGACTAGCGATGGGTCAGAAATACATGCTTCTCAGTGTATCCACAATTCCTTGCTGTGTACTTTGGTCGAGTGCCAACCTCATCGACCCTTTTTCAATTGTCAAAAGTAGTTAATGGCACTGAATGTTGCTAGTTCAGTTTCCTTAAAGTGAGGATAGGGGTAAGATGGCTCGGTGTTTAGAACGCGAATTTACTGACCAGAAGGTCCGTAGTTCGAATCCGACCTCTGCCTTTGACTTCCCCCGTCTAGGCTTGGGCAACCTGGCAGTATGCCGGCCCTCATGCTTCCTTCTAGTGACATGGCAGTTCGGGATCGAAAGGGTGCCACAGGTGAAGAACTTTTATTAAATTACTCGTTGCTTCCTTATGATTCATGAGCATCACATCATTGATTTGTACTAATTAACTGTGATAACATCGCAATCAACACACACCCTCGTAATAATGTGACAGTTCTCTTTACGTCATAATAAGTGCATGAAACTAATAGCAAACAGTTATGTGCCACAATCAAACACATTAGAAACGATGGAGAAGTGATTAGCGTTCAGTATCCGTTGTTCCGTCACTGATGAACGAACTAAGTTAAAATGAGATCAGATGAAGGCTGCAGTTGTTTCGCTCGCAAAAACCATTCGACTGACGAGAAACTCAAGGTTCATCAGAACGGGTTGGTCCACTCAAGCCTATTCCAGAAGCGAGTATCATCAACGGAAGTGCAATTCACCTAGTTGACTTCGAAAAATTCGAACGTTTTCTTCCAGTGAGAATCGGTTGAAGAACCTGTCACAGGCACTGAATTTGTGGTGAGGTACATAAGTCAACATTCGAAAAAGTTGGTTCTCGATCGATTATTGTCTCATACGAAGTGTTCTACCTCGAGGGGATTCCATGTTAGAAATGTGTGAGCGCGAAAAATTCACTGAGGATTATTGTCTAAAAGAGAGTGACAGCATTCATAATGAGGTCCTGAAAACCTGTCCGTCACAACGCACTGGAGGGAGTGACTGTGCCGTTAAGTAAGGGAAGCACTATTTAGGTAAGTAAACACAGGCAAGCAACAAGCCGTAGAAAAGTTGAGCGGGGTACGTCCAAAATGGCCTGAGTACTTGTAACACTGCCGACGACTAAAAACAACAGTTGAACAGTTGCGCATTGCTCTTCGGAGAGTTCACAAGGGCCGGGTGACAAAACGACAACTGAAACGTGTAGAAGGAGCAAGATGGAGCACGAGAGACCGGAAACCAAATAAACTCACATCTCCTACTGATTCCTAAATCGATCGTGCAAGGTTGAAACACAAGAGACTGACACAAGATTCCATTGAGAGGTGGTACTGATCACTGACGTCTGACTTATACGATGGATGTGCCACCAAGTGACACCTCGTAAAACAAGTTTCAAATGAGTTTCCAGTAACCTGTTATGCAGCGCGAATACAACATATGGTCATGATCCATACAGCGGAGAGTAATGCATCAGAATAACGTTCAGGGCAAACCAAGTCGATATGCGGCTCTCTGTCGAATCAAGAAAGCTGTTTCGCTTGTTTTACTCGCTTGGCTCAGGTCTGGTGCAGCATCTAGCGAATCGTAAGCCAAGCCAGTAAAACAAGCGAAACGGCTTTCTTGATTCGACAGAGAGCCGCATATCGACTTGGTTTGCCCTGAACGTTATTCTGATGCATTACTCTCCGCTGTATGGATCATGACCATATGTTGTATTCGCGCTGCATAACAGGTTACTGGAAACTCATTTGAAACTTGTTTTACGAGGTGTCACTTGGTGGCACATGCCAAAGCCATAAAAAAAGCCAAACGGCTTTCTTGATTCGACAGAGAGCCACATATCGACTTGGTTCGCACTGAACAGCCATAAAAGCACCGAGGACAGCACTAGATCTGCATCTTTCGAACTCAGAACTCCGTCCTCTAACATAAGCGAACGAAGAAGACTAACTAGAGAGATGTGGCTGTCCAGGTTGTATTTGGGTGCGGGCTGGGATATTTCCAGGGCATCCATACCGCGGTTGGCATGAAACTATCACAGTGGAACAACTTTTAAAGAGCAGACCACCGTAGGCTTTCCAACCTGTCACAGAAGAGCTGAGAGAACGTGCTAGCTAGTCATCCCATCTAGTGACCAACTTATTGTGAGGTATCAGCTCAGTACAGTACAGCTTATTGGGCAGTCGTATCAGCATCCCTACTTGTGTGATAACTTCCAACAACAAATACCCCACTGTTAGACTGAATAAACCACCATATTAGCTTCCACTAACCTGGTCGGAAAAGATCATGGTCGGATTGTGACTCGTTTGCTCAGGTCTCAGTAACACAGCACGTGTTCCGCACAGGTTATTTGGGAGCTAGAGGCGGAGTCTCTTGTAATTGGGTATCCTGCTGACAGTCGAGTAGAAAGTTCGCACTGCTCAACGATTCAGGTGACGGACAAGGGGAAATCCTACTACTTGAGCCATCCTCGATAACACATAAGCTGCATATCCCACTTGGGTAGAAAATGATCTTTGGAACCTGCAGGGGTGTGATACTGGTCAGCAGACGGAGAATTAACTGCTTAGCGGTGAGCATTTACCTGAATAGGCTCACCAGGGTCGCAGTGTCCACCAGGAGGGACCCACTGTCCTGGATACGAACGCATGTGCCGTGGCCGCCGAGTGAGTATCAACCCGTCGCGACTGGGCGATTCCAGCAAGCAGGCGCTGGCAACGGGTATGTGCACGTGACGAGGAGCACCGATAGTGGGTGCTTTGGCGGATAAGTCCACATTTTCTCTGAGGTAGGCTTGGCTTCTCGAGGCAAATGGACAAAACCAGGCGCGCTGATATAGAGAAAATAAGTGTGAAGATGACGATTGGATGAGAATAAACAACAGAACGAAGAAACACATTTTTGACTATCTCTAGGAATACGGAATACAAATAGTGAAGAAAAGTTGGTTTGTGGTGGTTTTGCGCGTATGTATGACCGAGGGTTTCCTCCACCATCAATTCACAACTAGGTTCCACATGGGGCCATTTTTCGTTTCTATTTTTGCTTCGTAAATTCATAGATTGCGTGGAATACACCGTCACACACACAAACTTGACTGATCCCTTAATGGAATTCGACGACTTTCATTTCCTCAGACTGAAAAAGCCGTATTCCCTCATCATACACATCCAATGACTTACGAGAAGTTGGTGTACTCCCAATTTGTTCCCCTGGCCTTTTAAGTTAAAGCGACTGCTTCTTATTATAGTCCTTCCTTCGGGTGGCATGGCAGCTAGGCACCGGAAGGGTGCTACAGCCGAACGCTTTATAGTCCCGGAACTATGCATCCAGGTACAACAGAGTCTTCGTAAACGATAAGTCACCTAGAGTATCGGTGGATAACCAATATCCCTTTCAACCCATTTTGATTGGGATCTTATGCATCCTACACACTTATTCGGAACACAAACTGCCGACTGCTGGAACTCCCATGGACCAGAATGCTATAGTTCCCCATGTGAACTGATTTCCTTTTAATTCAATGCATGGTACGTCATAATCAAGTGTGCTCAGTGAGTTCGATGCCTTTTTACATGCATGCATTGAAAAAAACGTAGGTGGCGATCACTGAACTGATGTTGCACAAAATTTAAACGGAATCGTCAACTTTTAGCGTCTTGATTGGCTCCAGAGATCAGATGTTCGTTCAGCGGACAACAAAAGAGATATAACGAAAAAGAAAGAACTACATTAGCGGTTCAGAATCAATTAAAATTATTATACCTGTTGTACAGGAAGACAAACAGTTCAGTACTGACCGTCAGTATTTCTAAGAGCTCTTCCAGCTAAGCTGGATGCGGAAGCAAGTTACTGAAAACATAAAATACTTGAGAATTAGTTTCAGTTGTTCATTCGGAATGTCAGAGAACCCCACCCCAACCATCGGAGTTCTCTTTATCCGCTTTAATGTCACATCAAGAAAAAACCGACCGTTTCCACTCTGGAATAAAGTGTTCCACCTGATGCGAGTACAGGACTCAACCCTCGGATGCTCTAAACATCCAATGAGTTTTGCCCTGACTAGCTCGCTCGTGTCTGGGAACGACAATGCGTCCCAGAGAACCACGGCCAAATAGTCGCTCCAACTACTCAAAGCTGCTATTCTAGCATTGTGACGCCTAAATTTGAAACCGAACGCAAGTGAAAAATACGGAGCGCACCAATCATATCCTCCTCCTTCTCACCCTCATCATTATAATCGATAGCATGACATCAGTGTTGAGCACTGGTGATTCGCTGCCGTGTCCTCACATTACGTCGGCCGACGATTGTGGGTTTCATTTCAAGTGAGCCTCCGATTCGGTGAATACAACCAGAGATGTCTCCACCAAAATGGCAGAACGAAGGTACATGTGGGGCAGTGAAACCCAGATAGCGGAAAAACCGTTCAGCTGTAGCACCTTTTCGATGCTTACGTGCCATGCCGCCCAAAGAAAGTACGGGGGCCGATATACTGCCAGGTTGCCCAAGACTAGACAGGGGAAGTCGAGATGGAGTGGTCGGGATCGAAACACGGGCCCTCCGTCCAGTAAATTCGCGCTCTAACTACTCAGCCATATCTCCCCAGTTGACAGGCCTGTTTCACAGACAACGGTAGTCAGGACAGTAATAAGATCCGATGGACAGGGCGGATGAGGTTGCTTTTACAAACCAACAACTATTACGGCGGCGCTGTTGAGCAGTTGTCCGCCAGTTTTCAACTAGCTCGCAGACCGCTTGCAATTCAGTGCATTACAGGAGTTTAGTTGGCGTTCTACCACTGTACCCGTGTGTTCACCCGACCCGCTTATTTTGAATCGTGGTCTGTGAGTTTAGATCGCCTTCAGATGAGAGGGTGCTGTCTTTCTGCCTTGAAGTGCCATTGGGCTGCTCCTGCCAGCATCGTCAAAATAAGGAGGATATCTCTGTTCCACTTTGACTACATTGCTCGTATTCATTTGGGAGCAGGGACGCGTTTCAAATAGATGGGGCCAATCGTTAGTCGTACCCGTGTGCGCAAGCCGGCCGTTCTAACCATGGGGATACAGGCTTTAGGCCTGTCGCAACCAAGTCAATGACTTCCCTTATACATCGATGTCTATCTTCGGCGACCGAGGCGCGTGTCCGGAAGCACAAACAAGATTTCGACGAGGAAGAGAGTGCATTGATCCCATTTCTACATTACGTCAATTGCTTGAGCAGCGTCACTTATATGCCAACCTACAGTCGCGGTTCTGCTTGACTTTAAAAGAGCCTTCGATTCTGTTAACAGACTTGAATAGACTCTTTTGGCCGAAGAATGCCCCTGAAATTTCTTCGCGCCCTTTGTTCTCACACCTCCGGTCGGGTTAGTGTACAATGAACTACCAGAAGTTTCCTGACAATTAGTGCGGTTCATTACCGTCGTCCCTTCCTTTTTGTTCAATTTTGTCGTCAGCGCCATCATGGAGTACAGACTCCAAGGAACCCTGAATCTAAATGTCTGAGGATAGATTAGTGGGTATGGATTATGCTGACGACATAGTTTTGATGTTTGACGATTATTTCCCCGCGCAAAGCAATGTGACAGGAATGTCGGAGGTGATCTTATGTACAAAGTTTTACTTCAAGATTTCTCATTCCTTTGTGCTTCTCTGAAACATCATAATGGATAACTTGGGTTTGTTGATAGATTCGCGTATCTTGGCAGATGTATAAGTTGTAATCGCACTGTAACAGATGGGGTTAACGCGAGATACCCAAGGCGGGAGCAGAGTCCGTCAACCTACATTTGTGGCGTCAGGACCGAATTCCATTAAAGCTGAAGGATCGTCCATGCAAAGCAACTGTAAGAGCGGTCTTACTCTATGGTTGTCTGGCATGGCTCTTCCGATACGGTGACCGCAGGCGTCTTCAAGTTATTGATCACCGGTTTCTCCGTAGCGAGTAAGATGGCTGCAGCGAGTCCGCAACAGAGAGGTGCATTATTGTGTACTTAAATCCGAATCGTTACAGTGGCACGTTAAACCTACCTGACTAAGGTCCGTGCAACTATCGTCTATCGAAGAAAGCGCTTCTTTTGTACTGAGCGATAGCTGGCGAAAGAGCGAGATGGCTCAGTGGTTAGAGCGCGAATTCACTGACTGGAAGGTCTGTGGGTCGAGCCCGACCATTGTATCTGGACTTCCTCTGTCTAGACTTTGGAAACCCGGCATCATGGTGGTTAGGCACCGAAAGGGTGTTAGAACTGAACGGTTTTTTTAGGACACAGGCATTACAGGCGACGTGAAGTGAGTGGCCAATGTCATACTGTGTTGTGGATCTTCGCGTCTCACTGGTTGGGCTCCACATAATTCTGCTTGCAGTGGTCGAAAACTCTGGGGGACATAGCAAGCAACTGATCCTATTAATAATAAATAATAATAATCGTTCAGCTGTAACACCCTTTATGTGTCTAGCTGACATGTCACCCGAAGGAAGCACGAGGGCTGAGATACTGTCAGGTTGCCGAAGCACAGACAAGAACAGTCGAGATACTGATGTTGGCCTCGAACAGAAGAATTTACGGTTAGAGTTCGTGCCTTAAACACTGAGCTTTCTCGATTACTAGGTTTAGTTCGGGTGAGGTTTGCGAAGGACGTTGGGTCGATCCCGCTAATGGTAACTTACTCCGACATCATGCTCAAATGTCTACTTGAATGCTGTCCGAAGGTGAGCGCACCTTACCCTTAATTGTTTCGCCTAAGGGCACGGGTTATTCGCATTAGGTCCCTATCCATTCCTTTTCCTTTTACTCCTTGCTAGTGTTTTTCCCTCATGGTTGCATGGCAGCTAAACACCAGTATGTCACTGGTGTATTGCCGCGTAAAGACTAGAGGTCTGCCTTCGAACAAAAGTAGGGTAACGTTGGGGATACCATTCGAAACTAATCCCCAAGCGCCTTCTTACAAGCCATTCCGTCTACACTTCGTGCCGGTCTGGCAGTAAATTGACTAAAATGCAAGCCGGCTTGCTCAATATGAACGAACTTTTGTAATCTGTTGGAACATTCGTACCGTACTCAACCCCACCAGGCAGAACACCAGAAAACGAAGTTTTTACAGCTACCAGTCAAATACGTGTCTGTCAGCAGCTCGACCACCTAAGTTCGGTACAAGACAAATTCACATGCCTGGAAGAGACGTTTCCTACTACCACAATGGACCAGTGAACATCCCAGGCGTTTACAACATTGTCTTTAGATAGCTGCACTGGTGACGCATTCACTGACTGAGCAATAGTACTGTCGGGATTCGCAGTGGCCCGGTTAAGGGATAAAGTCATGCACATGACAGTGACTGACTACTGCATCAAACACTAATCAGTAGTCAATCGGTGGACAGGAATGAGTTTTGCGAACAACTGCAGCTGCTGGTCAATAAGACATGAAGACGACCGAGCGGACGAAAACACTCGCCAAACACTTGGTCAGTTCGGTTTCCACCAGGTTTGGGGAACGGCTACCGGCGACCATAAAGCAACGCGTTGTCAACAACACAATTCCACAAACCAAGGCGACACGTACTGCCGTGGTGCTCGAACGAAGGTCACATGACCGCATGGGTGAAGTGCATTTTAATGCGTACCAAGTGGACCTCGTCAAATGAGGACTGCAGGCCTTATAGAGGAGCATGGTGACAAACCTTTGCAAACCAAATGCCAAGCTTGGCGAACAGATCAGCCACTATTTGATCAACCTCTAATTAGCTCACCAGGGCTAACATTGGTTAGACACTGCCAAAGGGTACTTTCAGAAGCTATAAACACCAGACCCGGGATAGCTCAGTGTTTAAGTGGCGAAATGAAGGTCCATGTTTCAAACTCAACCTCAACTGCTACTGTCTAAGCTTGGGCGATCTGGCATCATCCAAATCCTCGTGCTTCTTTAAGGCGACATCGCAGCTAGGAACCGATAAGGTTTTACAGCCGAACGATTAGTATAAGTTATTTAACCACCAGGCATAACGCTGATAGGCCTAGTAAGTCAGAAGATAAATTACTTTTAGTAAGCCATCCGTGAGTAGTTTGAAAAATTTCAGCGCAATTGGATATTGGAGGCCAACTAGGCTATGACGAAAGTAAAAGGGCTGGACAACTGAGGACATTACGCTCCTATCCTGAAGTGCAACGTGAGTACTTTTGACCATTCCCCTACACGGGTAGGCGACTAGATTCCGACCCAGCAGTTACGCGAACACGCTTATCAATTCGCTTTATCTCAAGATCATTTACGCAGCCCTACCACAAACTGAAACTATCATGGATGACATCTGGGACAGAGTGAATAGCGCATCAACAATGATTACAATCTTCAGAAATATCACAATAAAACCATGTGAAAACCACCGTGGCAATAGCCTGCCAGCTATGGTATTCAGAGCGCTCTCCAGCACCATCTTCCACAGGATTATCGATCGCTGAAAGAGCCAGATTCCGAAGCTGACTTCAATTTGGTCAAGAATACACTGACCGTATCTTCAATTTAATAGATGCTTGAACGGCACCAGCCTTTTGTTGAGCTGGAAGCTGCTTTCAACGCTGTCGTCAGAAGTTTCTGACGGTCACTTTTATTCCTTGTAAAGGCACTGTCCGCAAAGTTCCGTGGGTGCACAAATGTGTTCGCCTAAGTTTAACACACCTTGATATGAGACAAGATTGCTCTTCCTCACCGTTCGTACTAATTTCGTTGTTGATACGCTGCTTGAAACTCCCGTTTCTGCCTTGGGTGGAAATAGTCGATCATAGACGACACTGCTGTTCCTGGTTCAAAGCCTTTAGAGATACAAGCAACTTTAAATGAACTGAAAAGTTCTGCCACACGGTTTGGTATGCGATACACACCTACAAACTATACAGTGCTGCGTGAGATGGAACCCAAACCTCATGTAGTAAATACATCAGCAGACTAACTGAAGACAGGGCAATTTCTCAAATTTTGGGGGCCAGGCAAGTAGCTGTCGACATGCGATAACCACGCCACAGGCACGACGTCAATCTGTCTGTCAAAGACAGAGTGTACATTGCGGCAATCTATTCCATGCAGCTTTATGCATCAGGAACGTACCCCTACGTGTAGATATGCGAAAACCTCCTGCAATTGGCCGAATTACTTCCAGTGTTTGGTGTGAACACCGGATTAACAGTGCTGAGATTCGGCAGATGAGACAGAACCCCTCCCGCTATGGACGAGCTTCACAGATTACCCAGGACAGGAGAGGAACTCCACATGTCAGAAGATCATCCACTCCGTGCATGTCTGTTTGCCCAGCTCAGTACTAAGTGGAAACAGAGGAACTGGCAGCAAGGTGTGGAAGTCACGGCTAGTGAACTGAAGAGGGTTGACAACATTCGTTTCTTTGAGTGGTAACTATGACCCCCCCCCACTAATAAAACAACAATGACACTGATAGGCATGGCTCGATCACACAGTCTACGGCTCCTTTGCATCACAGCTAGCACTTTCAATGTGAAGCTTTCCAACCTCTCACCACAGCAAACGACTGGAACGACTCAATGTCAACTTATCTACTGGGCCATCGCCTCTAACGCCTTGCCGTTCCCGCTCTGGTCTTTCTTTTTTTCAGGGAACGAAATTGCAGTGGCTGGAACCAATGCACCTTTGATACGTGGTTTATAGCTGGCTTTCTGAAATGAACGAAACCTGGTATTGTGAGGACAAGTTTTAACTTGCACTAGTTTACAAACTAATGGGCGAGATGGCCCAAGTGGTTAGAGCGCGAATCTACCGATCAGAAGGTCCGTGGTTCGAACCCGACCTCTGCCTCTCGACTTCCCCTGTCTAGGCTTGGGCAACCTGGCAGTATCCCTCGTGCGACCTTCGGGTGGCATGGCAGTTGGCACCGAAAGGGTGCTACAGCTGAATGAAATCGTGGAGCTCTGTTTACTGGGAGTATTGGGGACACGACGATCCAAACAGAATAACCATAGTAGGATACGCAATGCCAACTACACTACCGACCCCTGGCCAGTAAAACATCAGGGACGAAATAACACCTGGTCTTACGCGAACAGGTAACTGCACTGCAGACATATCTGACGAATCAATATGTACTTCATTTCCATTTTGAAACAGACAGATAGTACACTCTTCGCTGTCACTCAGAAATTCTAAAATGGACTTATTCTTTATAACAACGGTAATACACCATACTTGTTCGAACGCAAGCCGTTTGTTGCGAACAGATGAATAGACGAACGACATGGGGTGATTCAATAGTTTCCGATGTGTAAACGGTCGAGCACAAGACAAATATACTCGTGTGGATCGTTTGTTAATTAGGCTGAAGAAACCCGTTCTGGATCGCTGAAACTTAAGAGGAAATAGAACATATCACCAAGGACAACAGCAGTACAAAAGAGCAACCGGAGTCACCAAAGATGCCAATTAATTAATCGAGTTCACAAGTGTGTACAACCGATTGACAGAAGACTGTTGAGATGAGCAGTGGAACACGTCCATTGTAAGCTGCAGCGGCTCAGTCACGTGCTATACAAGCTGAATCACTCACAAACAAGACGACCGCTTTTACGTTTGCCCCCCTAAATATGGTATAAAACACGAGAAGGACAGGGCGTAACTGACAGCAGACGTAGATGGGTTATGAAAGGTTTACGCTGTAGACGTCATCCACTTTCTAGAGCGAAAAACCGGAGTTGGTTAACTCCTGGAAAGCTTGGAGTATGTGGCCGTCAGCGGATACCAGCGATGTAGGCAGCATTAGCCCTGAGGTAGATGAGAAGCTGGCATCTGCTGAGAAGCGAAGAGGGCAAACTTCAGGGCCTCCTCTATGATCTTTCATGACATTAATCTAAATGTAGCTGG